GAAAACAATATACCGACGAAGGCCCATTCGGGTTTAAACATGCGTAGTAAGAGAGGGTTTAGGGTCTAGGGTTTAGGGTTTAGGGTTTACCTGGAACGCCCTAGTTGCTGCTTTTTTGCAGCAACTATTGAAAGTGGCAGGAATTTCGCAAAAGTGGCCAGAATTCCTGTCACTGGCAAGTTAACAGTGATTGCCCATCAGAAAGTGGCGTAAAAAGGCGTAAAAGTGGTGTAAAAAAGCGTAAAGTTGCGTAAAAAAGCGTAGACAATGTATGGGTAAAACCTGCAACTTTGCAGTGGCTGGTTTTAAGCGGAAAAAGCGGCCACTTTCAATAGTTGCCACAAATTATTAGCAACTAGGCTTTCCAGGTAGGGTTTAGGGTTTAGGGTTTAGGGTTTAGGGCTCTCCCCCCTGCCCCCCCCTCCCCCCCCCCGAAAGGCCACTTGCAAGCTGCCTGGCACTCGGCACTCTTGGAGGCCTTTTGCCCCATTCCGCATGCCTCCATGGGGAGTTTTTCTAGGGTGTTATAGGGTTTTAATAGGGCCTTAAAGGGTTTTATCGAGTTTTTTTTTACAGGTTTATAAAGGATTTAGGGGGTTAGGAATCGGGTTATAAGGGTTTTATAGGGTTTTCGGGGTTTAGGCACGAGGGTTGCGGCTTGAGTAGGGCTTGGGGTTTTGGGCTTCGGGTGTATGTAATAAGCTCAGGGCTTGAGGGAGTTGGGTCCCTAAGCCTTGAACCCGAACCCTAAACCTGCCCAAGGGCCTTACGACCCCCAACGGCCTCGTCAGGACCTTAAGGCTTGTAAGAAAAGGGTTTTGGTGGAGTTACTCTGGTATAGTTCTGTAGGGACCATAAGGGAATACGATTAGTATTTCTTCCTAACCCTATAGTAGAACTTTGGGGGGGGGGGGCCTAGGTGATTGCAGCGCAAGGTGGTATTATGGGCTTAAGGGCTCGGGCTTTCGAGCCTGAGGGCTCATAAGGAGGGTTCAGGTGTGTTAGGGTTTAGGGTTTAGGGTTGAGGGTTGCGGGTTTAGGGTTTAGGGTTTAGGGCTTAGGGTTTAGGGTTTAGGGGTGTCGGCATTAGGGCTTGAGTGTTGAGGGGTTTAGGGTTGAGGGGTAAGGGCTTAGGGTTTTTCAGGGCTTTCGGGCTGAAGGCTTCCGAGCTCAGGGCTTTCAGGTTTCTGGCTTTAGGGCTAAGGAGGGCTTGCTGAGTGTCTATAAGGAGAGCCCGAAATCCGAGTTCTGAACCCTAAACCCTAAACCCTAAACCCTAAACCCTAAACCCGATAAGCCCTACACCTACCCTTGCAGTGCACCAGCTTGGGGGGGCACTGCTCAGGGGAGAGCTGCTCCACTCGTCCCAGAGCTCTCTACGCATGTAGGGTTTAGGGTTTAGGGTTTAGGGTTTAGGGTTTAGGGTTTAGGGTTTAGGGTTTAGGGTTTAGGGTTTAGGGCAGTGAACATCCTTGTAGCTGAGCTCCCTCAGGTCGCTGAGGTAGCCACGGAGGTTCATGGTACTTATTCCCCAATTATAACTGTACTTAAAACCACATATGAGACCCTTGAGTGCCATAATATGGCTAGAAGTACAATTCCAATTGGTTAATAAGTACCATGCACCTCCAAGTAGTCACTCTGGGTGGTAGAATCCGAGGAAAGGGTGTCACAGATGGGCAGATCGCAGCCGTTCAGTCAAGTTCAAGGCTTCTCCTCCAACTCCCGGAAAGCGTGTAGGGAAAAGTCTCCAGCTCCCGGTTGCGAGACCCCAAACCCTAAACCCTAAGCCCTAAGCCCTAAGCCCGAAGCCCCAAGCCCTAAGCCCTAAACCCCAAACCCTAAGCCCTAAGCCCTAAGCAGTAAACTTCTCTTCGGAGGCCGTGGCACCGCTCGTGCCGGCACGCACACACGGCTGCTGTGGCCACAAAGGGCGGGTTCGAGACAACTTAGCCATTCAACTCGAAGCCTGGAGGGTTTAGGGTTTATAGGGTTTAGGGTTTAGGGATTAGGGTTTAGGATTTAGGGTTTAAGGTTTGAAGTGTAGGGTTTGAGGCTTGGGGTTTAGGGTTTGAGGCTTGGGGTTTAGGGTTTAGGTTTGGGGTTTAGGGTTTAGGGTGGTGTGGGTTCATATTAGGGAAGTATGACCTCAATTTTAGGGGTCATGTGGTCCGCAGGCTTTACCCGCAATCCGCAACTGCTTGCCATTGTCGTTGCCGCGCACCCTAAAGCCCTAAACCGTCAACACCAACCCGCCAGCGCCGAACTGCAAGCCCGCCCAATCCCTGAATCCGAAACAACAAACGCTAAATGGATAGTTCTCCAAACTAGGTTCGAGTTTTGGGTCCCCAACATGTGCGGCACCCTTAAGATAACGTCCCAATTTAGACAACTCCCAAACTCTAAAACTCCCAAACTTCCTAAAGCCTGAGCCCTAAACCCTAAACCTTAAACACTTAATAACCCCAAAAGCCCAAAACCCTAAACCCCTAAGCGCGCGCTGAGAACCTCGGAGGATGCCAGAGCTTTCAAGACCGGCGCACAGCTGTCCTGTCGACTGCCGGGGCCTTTTGGGGTTTAGGGTTTAGGGTTTAAGGTTTAGGGTTTAGGGTCTAGGGTTTAGGGTTTAGGGTTTAATACATAAGTTGGTGGTTTTGCTTCAAGCACCGGTCCCAATGATGCCAACAGATCCCGCTAGATCACACACTCCCTCTATAGAGGTAGATTAAATCCCTGGACTAGGGTTTAGGGTTTAGGGCTTAGGGTTTAAGATTTCGGGTTTAGGGTTTAGGGTTTAGGGTTTTAGGGTTTAGGGTTTAGGGTTTTAGGGTTTAGGGTTTAGGGTTTAGGGCTCAGGGTGAACTAAATTTTCAGCAGCACGGCAAAGAGGCTCTGCACCATGCCTCCACGAAAGGGCCCGGCATCGAACCCATCGGGTATTCTGCGCACAGCGGGCGCCGTCAAGGGGTTCCGCGTCATCAACTTGGTCGCCCAGTGGTACCCTCTTCCCTTTTTTTTGGTTCTGGGTTCCCTTAGGAAGGAACCTTTTTCCACTGGCACAGCAATCCATAAGAATCAGCTCCTGCTCCGTGGCACCTATAGAACAATTCAGGTTGCGGGGGTCGGTGGGGCTGAGACGCACCTAAATAAACCTTAAGCCTTAAAACCACACGCTAAACCCTAAAAGTCTGAACCCCCAAACCAGGGGGGCACGGAATGGAGTTGGGGTCTTGAGGATGTGCTGGGAGGCTTCGCTGCGAGGCTGCTTTTCTGTGGAGATATAGTAGTCGAAAAAAATGACCTTAAACCCTCAGCCCCAAGCCCTAAGCCCGAAACCCTACACCCTAAACCTTAAGGGTTGTAGCATGTTGGGGGTATATTGGCGGCACTCCTATCTAGGGAAATGCGCACAGTAAACGCCCGAAAGCCGCAAAACCCAAACCCGAAGCCCTATAGCCCTCCACCCGGTACATTCTAAAACCTAAATAGCCACCAATCCCCACACCTTAAAGCCTAAACCAGCCATCCCCCCCCCCCCCCATCACCAAACCCCGAACCCTACACCCCAAACCCCAAACCCCAAGCCCTAAAACCTAAACCCCAAACCCCCAAAACCCAATCCCCAGGCCCCAAAACCGAAACCCCAAACCCAAACCCAAAACCCCAAGCCCCAAACCTAAACCCCAAACCCTAAACCCCAAACCCCTTACTAACCCCAAACCCAAAACCCCTAAACCTAAACCCCTAAACCCCCTAAACCCCTAACCCTTAAACCCCAGCATCCTGGCGTTGGGCGTCTCCCGGAACCACTTTCAGCCCCCGCTCACGCTGGCGCCGCGCCAGCGCGGGAGACCTGGGCTTGTTTTCGTGTTTTTATTTTTTCTTTGGGTGCTTTTAGGGGGGGCTTCTAGGGAGGGTTTCGGGTTTAGGGTGAAGGGTCTAGGGTTTAGGGTTTAGGGTTTTTCGGGTTTAGGGTTTGGGGTTGAGGGTGAACCCTGAACCAAGGGTTTTGGGGTTCTCCCTAGACCCCAAACTGTTCGGGTGGCTCGGGTTTTGCCGGTTCTCAAAGGACATTGTTGGGGAACCCTAAACCCTAAACCCTAAACCCTAAACCCTAAACCCTTTTTTTGGGGGTGCAGAAGGACTTTGCTAGGGCTCTCGGAGTTGCTTCAGGATTCTTCAGGCTTAGGGGTTTGGGGTTTAGGGTTTAGGCTTTAGGTTTTAGGGTTTAGGGTTTAGGGTTAGGGTTTAGGGTTTAGGGTTTAGGGTACCCCAAACCCTAAACCCCTAAACCCTAAACCCCTGCCCGTTTAGGGTTTTGGGGGTCTTGGGGCGGGGGGCGGGAGGGGTTGAGTTGAAGGGCTGAGGGCCATGGGGGCTTGTTCTTAGGGGCTTTTGGGGGTTCAAGCTTTCAAGTCGGCGTTTAAGGGGTTTTAGAAGTTCAGAGATGTTTGGGGATCAGGGTCTGGGGTTTGGCGTTCTAAGTTGTCGGGTTTGCAGGGGTTGCCCAACAACCTTCAGGTTTAGGTTTCGGGCTTGGGGAAACGCAGCTGTTTTGCGTGCACGCGGGAGCGCCCCCGGTTGCTGGCAATCGTCCGAGCGGAAGTAAGCCCAATACTGGGCTGGGTTTTCGGCCCTGGGAAAGGAGTAGAGTTCTACCGGGTTCAACAGGACTTTTTTCTAGGGATTAGCTTCAATTACAATCGGGGCCCGGAAAGAATATGTTCGCATTCCTTCAGCAGAAAGTATATGTGCCTTGAATTTTAAGTTGTCACATAAGCTCCAAAAAGATATGGGCAATGAATGACCTTCATTAATCTTGGTAGCCAGTAACCATCTTGTAAGAAGGGCACCGCTTTTTGGGTTGGGAGCCAAATAAAGCGGAAAAGGGTACGCTTAGGGTGTAGGGTTTAGGGTTTAGGGTTCAGGGTTTAGGGTTTAGGGTTTGGGAATTACACCCCATCTTCCTTAGTTAAACGATCTCGGGCTTCCCGAGGGCACTATGCAGACCCTGGCACGCTACACTGGCCTGCCTCGTTGTCTCCGAAACAAACCTGAGTTGTCCAGTATCCCAGAGGGGAACCACCTGGGACCCTAATTTACCTGCAGTTTGAAGGGTTATACCTACTAAATAGTGGGGTGACTTAATATGAATCTGTAGGCAATTAGGGTTTTCAGGTAAAGGCTAGCCTTTGGGATTAGATGGGTAGTTCTCTAGATTAGGCCCGTTTTGGCGTCCCCGAACCCCAGAAGGGACACCATTTTAGAGGACTGCCCATATTGAAGCAGGGTTTATATTTCTGTTTTTGGTGAGTGTATATAAGGTTCCTCTTTAATATTGGTGAGTGTATATACCTGGTGTCCTGTTGGGGGTACAAGAAATATAGACCCTGCTTCATATAAGGAACACACTGCCCCCCCAAAATGGCGAAAGGCTGCCGAAGTCTACTGCCAAGAAACCACCTGACCATCGGTCCTCACAGCGCAGGTGTGAAAGAAGCCGGCCGACACTGACAGAACCTAGGGGGACGAAATGAAACCCTTAAAAGGGTTAAATTTCGGTTCATATTACTTTTTTGGGGCTTTAGGGTTTAGGGTTTAGGGCTTAGGGTTCAGATTTCCTTAAGAGGAGATATGAGCTATAGTAGTATAGGGTTAGTTTAGGGCCACAATTTTCGGGTTCATTTGGTCCCCAAGGAACGGGGCCGAGATCCGCTGGAACATCGCACTGGCCTTCCCTGTTGCGCCCGAAGCAAACCAGCTGTCCAGTTGTCTTCACTGCACAGGTATGAAAGACGCCTGACGATACTGCAAGGACTGACCCCAGGTCTGCTGGCACGCCGCACTGGCCTTCATCATTATCTCCAAAGCACCGCAGCCTGCCATCGGGCTTGATTGCGCACGTGTGAAAACCGCCAGCAGAGACATCTAGAACCGGCCCTACGTCGTCGGGTACATCGCACTGACCCTCTTGCGTCTGCCCAAAACACAGCAGCTGGCCATCTGCCTTCACTCCACAGACGTGGCCGCTGCCCGCGGACAGTGCCACCAAGGGCGGTGTGACCCAGTGCGAAGGGGCAGCTCCAAAACACACCACTTCGCCATTTGTTCGCCTCGGTTCCCAAGGCGAAATTCGGAGTACCTTCCCTAGGGTCCTTATTGTAAGGGAATCCTACTCGTTGGGGTCTATATTCCTGGGAAGAACCCCGGAAGCATTTTGTGCACAACGAGGTTCTACCCTGGGGACCACATGAACCCTAAAATTGGGATCATCTACCCTAGACCATATGAAGGTAGTTCGAACCCAAAACCCTTTTGAAGGGTCCATTTGGTCCCCCCAAGGACAAAACTAGGTTGCCCAGTATCCTAGGATTAAAAAGGGTGCGCCCTTTTTTGCATAAAGGAGTTTATAAGGGAACCTACACCCCCAAGAAAGGGAAAAAGGGTTTAGGGTTTAGGGTTTAGGGTTTAGGGTTTAGGGTTTAGGGTCTAGGGCTACTGGGCATCCTAGAAAAAGAATCCCAGTCACAAGGCGCAGGTGAACTCACGGCCAACGGACACTGTGAGAACCTGCCCCAGGTCTGCAGGAACATCGCACTGGCCCTGCCTCTGCTTTAGGGATTTGGGGTTTAGGGTTTAGGGTTTAGGGTTTCGGGTTTCGGGTTTAGGGTTTTAGGGTTTAGGGTTTAGTGTTTAGGGTTTACTTGGAAGCCCTTTTCGACTTAGTTTGCAGGGTTCGGAAGGTGGGTTATGGGGACTACAATAAGGTTTCTGGGGCATACTAAGTGGACTTACGAAGTCGAGTTCATTACACGGTTTTAGCTGAAGAACCTGATGTTGGGGTGCCGAGGGTGGGTTCTTACTGGCTTGGAAACAGAGGTTGGGTTTCAAGGAAAAGCCCGGTCAAGAAAGGTTGCGTCCCGGTGAACACGACATAGGATTCTCTTCGTCGGTTAACCTGGACTGAATACTAAATCCTTGGTCTGGTTCTTGGTTAGTTCACTTCTTGTTCATTACATTCCCACACTTTCAATACTATTATTGGACAAGGAACGCGCGCTTCTTGCATTCACTTCGTACTGATTATATTCAAGCGGCACACTTCGTTCTCTTCTCACGCACTACATTAATATTAATCGCGCGTTAACTTGCATTAATATTAATATAGTGAGTGAAGAGACGAAGTGCACGCATGAAGAATCTCTTTTACTGCGTGCATTACAAAGGATTACTCTATGGCGATGTGGGATCCGCAGAGTTATAGTAAGTACGCAGTTCTCCAAATTAGTCCCCTTGGGAAAGCCCTTAACGCCAAACCCGAACTACCCGGTTCTGGCGCCTCATTTTCCTGGTTGGTTTCTGGATTCACATGGTCGGATTTAACAGGAAGGCGTAGCAGCAATGAAGAATGCACGTTTTGAGGGTCTGCTGAATCTGCTCTTTTTAATGCGGGGTTTTGGGCTTTCACGGCAAGTTGTGTTTTGAGAAACAAGTATAAGT